CCAAGGGCTGCCAATTTCCCCCCACGCCGAGGCTCCGCTGCTCCTTGCCTTGCCAGGCTCCAGCCACCAAGGGAAGGTCATTTTCCTGTAGCCATGGATGGAAGAGAGGTTTGACACAGTCCTCTTCTGCTCCTCTTTCCCAGACAGACGTTCCCAGGCCCAGAGGGCAGGAGGCTGCCTGGGAGGTGGAGGCCGCAGTTCCTGCCCCCCAGCAAACCCAACGGGACACCCCGTGTCAGGCTGCCAGCAAGGAAAGGCTTTGTTCCGCGGGCTGCCTGCGGTCCCCACGCACGTCCCATCCACACAGAGTCCTTAGGGGCGCGTAACAGGGGCTGCCACGGCTCAGTGGGGCAAAAGTCCTGCCCCGGGCTGGCTCAGCAGCTGGGGTGACATTCCCACTGCCATGGGGTAGTGACAGTGACACAAGATGCACCAGCATCACCGGCTGCGGGGCTCAGAGGGCTTCAGTTTGCACCAGCAGCCTGCCTTGGGCTCCAGGTCCGTGCAGGGCCCTTCCACTCAATGTCTTTCTGTGACCCTGTGAAACACAAATCCAGCATTTTCTCCTGACTTCGACCAGCCCTCCAGGAGCAAACGGCCTCTGTGGGCAACATCACACTTGCGATAGGGCAGCACCTCCCCTCTCCCTGACACAACCTCTACGACTATGGGAAGAGACTGATGAAAGACTTGTTCCAGCCCTACTGATTAAACAGCGCTGCTTGGGCACAATCCCTGCCTCTGGCGCGTGCAGTGGCAACGCCGCAGCAGCACAGCATCCACTACACGCTCACGGAGAAAGCAGGCAGCTTCCCACCCCCCACGCCTCTGCAGGGGTGTGGGGCCTCTGCCAGTCGAGGGAGCCAGGTTTCGATCTCCACGCTGAGGGTGGTATGTGAGCCCGCTGTGCTACAGCTCCCGACCCACTACCGCATCCCTGAGCCTGGGCCGTCTGCTCCACACGCCATCGGCTATCACCTCACCAATCCCCAACCACACACCCCACAGCAACGAGACCAGCTAGAATTTGGGTCCCAGGCTGGGAAACCTGGAGGGGGAGTGGGATTTTTGGAGGTGTTTAAAGAGCTTACTCCCCATCTCAGCTTCAAAAACATTGTGCAAAAACCAAGGGTGTGATGAATAGGAGAAAGTGCTTAAGTTGATAAAGGGGCCAAGTCCTGCCCCACAAAGGGATTTCTGCCTGTTGCGCGTCTCAAAACTCTACCCATCTCATTGCATCAACCACAGTGTTTGTAACTTTAGAAAAAAAACAAAACCAAATTCCCTGTGGAGTTCATAACTCTAAGATGCAGCAAGGCTGATCTTGTGGGTATGTCACACCGGACAAACAGGAGAATCAGAGAGAAAATAAAGAGTTTAGATGAAAATGAATTAAATCTGGGAAGCTGCCAAACTGACAGCTTAATGATCCACAGCACTGCTGAAAATCCAGGGAGTAGGTGAAGAGTTGTTAGCTATTCAGCACTGCTGGGCACGCCTGTTTGGAGAGGCGCCACAGAAAAGCACTGATAGGGGTTTCGATAGGGCGTGCACACGTGTTGTGCTACCAACACACCCAAGGTCTGGCCTCAGCCTCCCAGCATCAGCCACGGCTGCTGAAACGGTTATCCACGGCGGGAGCAGGGGGAGCGCCCGGCCTCGCCAACCGGCAGAGCTGTGCCAAATTGCACCCATCAGCTCCTGCCCACATGCTTTGATCACAAGCCACATTTGCAAATATTTCCCGTCCTCCCTCTACCTCCTCACCTCCAGCTCTGGTCACCCAGCACACCTCCTCAGCCCCAGATGGGAATAACCTCTCCGGCAAGGCCAGGCATGGGTCAGCTTAGATGTTTATTGCTTGCTCAGCGGCACGGCATGGCACGGCTTAGCACGCATCCCGGCGGGATGGGCAAAGAGGAGCAGAACGTTTCGGGCGCACGGGCCTCACTGTGAGTGGGTGTGAGCTGTGTCCCCACCAGCACCCGCTCCAGCAGCACCAGACAGGGATGACGCTGGGAATCCCACAGCTTTGGGGTGCGCCAGGTCAGGGCAGGGAGGAAGGGGCTCCTGCTGTGAAGCAGCGGGTGGTTACTGATGGTGAGGACCCTCGCTGAGGGTGCGGGAAGGGTGGGCAGCACAGGCTGGTATGGACAAGCCCTGAGCCAGCAGACAGCCCAGCTCCTGGTGCCTCACTGTGAGTGGACGAGTGCCCCAGCGCCTTGCCCAAAGCCAAAGCCCTTGGGACCAAAGTTCTTGGCGTAGCAACCTGCAGAGAATGGGAAGAGAGAGATGGGTAAGGCTGGCAGCTGAACACAGGCAGGTCCTCCTCTCGAAGCAGGCACTGCCTAAACAGGGCAGGGTTTGACGTTATTTGTTGGGCAAGCAGAAGCCCCAAGCACAGCGGGAAATCCCCAGGCTCCACAGCCAGTCCCCATATGCAGCTGCTGGGGCCACCAGCTCCCCAGACCTCAGTCCCACCCTGGTTCCCTGCACAGGGGTTTTCACCCCCTGCCTCCACCCTTCAGAGTCCAGGACAAGCCAGCAAGGAAGGGGGCACTCACCTTTGCAGTAGATCTCCCCATCCTTGTCTGCCAGGGTGGTGGACTCCAGGCTTTTGCCACACTTGGCACAGCGGAAGCAGGACTTGTGCCAGGACTGCAGGACAGGAGCAGAGACCAGTCAGACGACACCCAGGGACAGGGCAGCAATGCTTTGGGTACCAAACAGGGTCACTTTTCTGTTTCTGACCCAAAGTGGCTGTCAAAGAGGACTGAATGGGATGAAAGCTTTTCTCTGGAAAGATTGGACCTCCCAGCCCCGAGGGAAGGTACAGAGAGGAAATATCAGGTGTGGTCACTGCTCCCATGTTAATCTGGTTCCAGAGAGCTTTCACCCTCACGCCCAGAAGTCATTCATACAGTAATTTGTAAGGAGCAGTCACCCCGCTCTTTGGAGATTGTTCTCTCAGGCAGCATGATAAATCCCCCAAGTTATCCAGCTGAGAGCCACGGCTGCTGTATGTTAGCCTGGGGGTGGCAGCAGCGCTGGGACACCTGCCCCTACACAACTACAGCTCCAAGGAAGGCAGCGAAGAGATACTAAGAATGCAGAAATTAGTCAGTGTTTAAAAATAAACTACCCCCCTGCTATACAAGGCTCCACCAATTCTCTGGGGATAAATGAGCTCACAGCCTTTGAGCAGACCTAGAGTAGCCAGAGCTGCTCACGGAGGAATTTAAATAAACACTGTGGAAAACATGAAACCTTTTTTGGAAGAAAATGTGGAATTAGGGGGCTGGAGAAGGAGGTAGCAGATGGAGTCATCCAGCAAACATTAGCACATGAAATACATGCTCTGGAATCCTCTCCAGGTTTGTCTGAGTGTAATTGCTCTGCCAGCTTCGGTTGCCCATAAACGCTGAGGCCAGAAGCCTACCAGGAAGCCCATGATTTTAAGGGTAAGTTTGGCTTCCAACCCTGGGCTGACCCTCCATGTGCCCATCACAAAGCCCTGCACTGCCAACTAGGGTATGATGATGCTGGGAAGCCCTTTCTGTTGACTAGATGCCTCCTCTCCCTGCTCTGGAGACAGAGGACAAAACACAGAAACCCCAGAGGACAGAGCACAGCAAAGGGTCAGTGGGTGACCCAGTGTGAGGCCTTCCCAGCATGGCCAGCCCGTCCCCAGCAGCACAGAGCCAAGCAGCCCAACCCGGCTGCCTCGGCACGCTCTACACATGGACCAGACCTCAGAGGGAAGGTTGCTTCAGGGCAGGGACCTCCTGCGGGATCCCAGGGCTGGCAGAGCAGAAGGCATCCCCATGCCTTACAGAGGGCTTCCCAGAGCTGGGCTAGCACAAGGCCACAGCCTGGGACACAGAGGACCCTGCTGAAGATACAGACTTGACATAGGAAGCCCCAAGGCTGTTGCAGTGTCCTTCACAGCTGGCCCTGAGCATCCACCAGCAGAACAGCCCAAGAGAGATGCACCGAGCCCGCTCCCACACCTCCAACCACCCTGCTCTGCCTATGGCCAGCGCTGACCACTGGAATTCACTCCCTGCCCTGAATCTGGGCTGCAGCATCCCAGCCTGAGGCAGAGGATGGAGAAGGCTCGCTGGATGCTGCACTTGTTCAGTTCATGGTGGCAGTGGCCACAGCCCACACCACTGCTCATCCTCCCAACATACCTAGCAGCAGCCACTGTGACCTCTGCTGAGCAGTGCTCCAAATATTTACTCTAAAATGTATTTCTCTCCCACCTGTAAGTCTCTAAGAGCGATGCAGCCTGGAGAACCTGCCTTCCAGACGTGCTAAGATCTCCTTTTGGTGCCAGGCTTCCAGAGGAACATGGCCACCAGACCCCAAGTGTAGCCCTGGCTGGAGGCGCTGGCAGCCCAGCCTGCAGCAGGCTGTGGGTCAGGTCAAGCCCTTCCCTGAAGCTCTCCCTGCCACACAGCAACCTGTGGCATGTGCGCGCCCCATCCACTCTATCCCTTCTTACCTTTCCGGCTCCAATCACCTTCTCGGCTGCATACACTGCTTGGCCACAGCGAGGGCACCCATCAGCACCCCCGACTTTCTGGGCCATTCTGGATGCATTAGGGTTGGTGGGTCGGTGGGGCTGGCCCCTGTGAATGGGAAGGAGTTCATGATCAGGGCTGCACAAGCAAGACGGAGGAAGGAAGAGCTGTGGGATCACAAATCCCAACTCAGTTTTGAAGGGCCTGGAGCTTTAGGCACAAGGTGTTGAGGCCCATGGATATTTCAGCCTGACAGATGCGTGCTGGGAGGGGATGGGCAGCATGCCCAGGCAGTGGGGACACGTCCCATCAAGCCCCATCTCACCCTGCAAACAGGGCTCAGCGGGTTTCCCCCAAGGAGTAGAAAGGCAAGGCAGCCTGCAGCACACTCCGGATTAGGTACTGCTGGAAGTTCAGCACGGGGTACACAGCCAAGCATCACAAGCGGACAGACGTGGAGGAGAAGGTGCCCACAACAGCCCCAGTTTCAAAAACAAGACTTAAACTCACTCTTCATATTTGATTCCCAGAGACTCGCCCTTGTCAGTGCTGAGGGTCCCGGCTCCCTGCCCATACCCATAGCCCTTGGGGCCGTACTTCTTGCCATAGCAGGACTTGCAGTAGATCTCCTCACCATGCACAGCAACAGTGGTGCTGTCCAAGTTCTTCTTACAGACCACTAGAAAAGAGGGGAGGGCCGTGCCATTAGCCTGCTCATCCAGAGCTGCTAATTAGCTGGAGAAAACAAGTCCTCACAAGAGATAATACAGCTCAGCTTTCAAGGAGTAGGGAAACCCTAGACAAGATCCTTGTTAAATGGAGCGAATGCAAAACAGCCAGAGATAAGGATCACAAGAACAACATTGTCTGGCTTTAAAAGGAAGCAACCACCAAAGCTACAAGGTTGATACTAAGAAAAAGCTCTGTTAACCCTCTTGATGCTGGTATTCTGGAGATGCACTTAATCCAAGGCTGGAGGGGGGGGTGGAGGTGTTTTTTTTTTACAAATCACTGCAGGATTGCCAAGCACAGCGCTGGATGTCCCTGCCCCACTGCAGCACTGCCACACTCCTCAGTCTGCTGCAAATACGATAGGTGACAGGCACCCAGGGGACAGTAACGTAAGCAAACAGATTTGTCCTTGTGTGCAGACAGACCAACAGCAGACCTGCAGCCGTTACCACAGCTGGTGCAGGGGGTGTTTCGGCACATTACACTGTTGTGCACAGTTGCCTCTCCAGACCCCCAGACCCTGATGGAAGAGTTCCAGCTAACATGTCACCCCTGGTCCATGCCATGATCTGGGTTTGTGCATAGGGTGGTCTCAGGTGAGGAACACTATCTCAGCTGGCTGCACAAGCCTTGGGGATCAATATGAGATGTAAGATGTGACAGGAGGAGACAGCAGCCAAGCTCCAGGTCCCAGATGAGCCCATCCAGAGCTTGAGCTTGGTGCTGAGCTCATGCCACAGAGACTTTTTCTTGACTCCTGTCTCAGCTCTGATCACAGCCACCATGTCGGCTTCCAAACCCTTCCTGGAACATGCTGTCCAGCAAGCCGGAGCAGGAGGTGAGCAGCACCCAAATGGGTGCAGTGATCTGCAGTGTTTACTTGCCCCAGTGCAGGATCCAGATGCCTGGGGCAGAGTCCACAGGGCTGGCAGCCAGACCCGAAAGAGATCCTGTTACAGCTGTGACACAGCCTTCCCCCATCCCACTTACATGCCTTAAATGTCAAGGCTCCCAGCAACCGGATGGCCTCTTCGCCAGCAGAAAAGTTTCTTGGACTTTACCTCTTGGACTTTACCAGTGTCGCAGGGATGCAAACATAGCAGAGCTCTCCTCTTGGAGCAGCACAAACTGCAGCACTAAACGCAGGGGCGAGAGGCAGCTTTCGTCAGCCCAATTACTAAATATGGTGCTTCTCCTCCAGGGCCACAGAAAACCCTGTGTGCTGCTGCAGCGAGAAGGAGGTGGAAAAGGAAATGTCTCCTGCCATCTAAGGAGGACCTGGCAGGGGCCTCTCCTGGATACATGCTCCTCCGTCCCACCACAGCAGGAGCTGGGGATGGAGCACATGTCCCCGTTGAGAAAAGGCCAGCTCTGGTTAACCGGTCCCATAGCTGCTAAGTTAATGGGCTGGTGTAGGGGTTGTGTCTGCTTCACCCTGGAGGTCATGGGGAGCAAGGCTGCATTCAGACAGACCCTCCAGGTGGGGAATTTGGGCACTTGTACTGGCACATTCAAAGAGCTTTGTCCGGTGGGGGGGGGCACGGAGTGAATGATCGCAATGGCATCTGGCTTTTTCTCCCACTGTGCTGTGTGGATTTAGAGCTCTAACCTAAGCTTTCACAGTTCCTCACTTATACTAGTCACAGATGCTTTGAGAGGCAGCAGAAAAATTCTTTCCCGATCTCTTCATAGAAATCAGCCCCCAGCTCCTGGGTTTCTACACTGCAGAAATTCCAGCACGCTGCACTCACGGAGTTAAGGACCCTTTGTTTTTCTAAGAGCTGTGGAGTTGCTCGACAAAACAATTAGACAAGAGCTGTTGCTACTTTCAGAGGCCAAACGGTCTCATTACAGTATATTTCCACCATGTACTATTGACTCAGTTGGATCGATGCCACTGAGTCAATCACCGAGTCACTCCCTGAGCCGATCTCTAAAGCACTGTGGTAGGTTTGGCTCCTTTTTAATTATTTTTCCGGCAGATCACGTCAAACTATTTGTTTTTCTCTCCTAAAGATAACGGCTTCAAGTTCCCCCGTGAGGCCCAAACGCAGCGCTGGGGAACGGGCTGGGAGTGCAGGAGTTCAGTGCAGCTCAGCATCACCCACAGCTTGCGGCATGGGACTGGGAACCAGCCTGGAAGCCACAGTCTACACTGGGGAGTGCACAGGCAGGATGGGCAGAACTGCTGGGGTACCTGTGGAGTGCAATTATGTACGTCTGCAAGGCATGAAGGCAGGGACCGTGGCTGTAATTGGCTCTGGACCACTGCCTGGTGACTTGCTTCCAGGAGCAGACATGGGATGACCTTCCCCACTTTGGCCATGTATTCCCTTCTCAATTCCCAATGCCTTTTGCCTGATTTCGCAGTTCCTGGAGGCCTGCCCTGCACTCTGGGTGCCAGCAGTGCACAGCAGCAGCTTTCCCTAGCAATCCAGCTGTGTGCACAGGGGCCACAGGGAATGGCAGAGGCAGTGCCATGGCATCCTAGCCCCCATACTGGGGTCTTCCACTGACATGGACTCCGACAGTAAAAGCCAGTAGTGGAGGTGAGATGACGGTAACATTCCCCACCCTCCTTATCTGAGGTTGCAGAAGAAACACAACTTCCTACTGCAGAAGGTGGCAGCAATAGCCTGCCAACCCCCGCCCGCCCAGGGAAAGCCCTTCCAACTCCCTTTCTTAGTCCTCTCAAGCCAAAGCAAGGTTTCTGACCTGGAAACTCCCACATACGAGAGCTACCATCCACGCTGGCCACTCCTCATGCTGCGCAGGGAGCAGAGACACAGCCTCAGCCTCTCCCTCTCACATCTGCATCCATCTGTGCATGCTGCATCCCAGGGAAGCCGGCCAAGAAGTATCCAGTTACCCGTGCCGGGTGGACACAGGAGCCCGGCCCCATGAGGACACTGGTATTTCCCTGCCGGAATAGGTCTATTGAGATTAGTTCTAGCTGCGTGCCTGTTTATAGATCCTAGCTCCCCTTGCTGCCTGTATGGAAAAGATCACGTCTGCGCTCCCTGTTGCAATGGGATGGTGAGACTGGGAACAGGGTTCAGGGACCAGCTGAGAAAACGTTAAACCTCAGTAGGGCCCTGCTGCAAGGGCACCTCTGAAGATGCACTTGTACTCTTGCCACTCTGCGTCAGACGGAATGTGTCAATAAGCCATCAGCGCACACTGGCAATGAGCATGCTCCTGTTAGCACCTGAGAATCACTAGTTCTGCTTTGTGATAGTCTTCAAGGGCAGAGGACAGAAATCCAGTGAAACACAGGCTGAGGTCACCTTTTTATTCAAAGGTCCTGCAGCCCCCCTGGATGTGGATGCCCCAGGTGTAAGGAGCTGCTCTCAGCACCGTAACACTACTCGCCTGTCCCTGCACTGCTGCCCTGGTATCTCCAAAGGGAGGGGAAGGGTGTCTGGGGACCAGCAGCATGAACTCAAGAAAACTTGTAGGATTCTGCAGAGCAAGCAGAGGAAGGGATCACTGCACAGAGGTAACCCACATGCTGCCTTTCCCTGGGGGTGACACTTGGGTCCAAACACCCTCCGCAATAGCAGATTTGCAGGCAGGCTGGAGTGATGCTTCAGCACTTCACAGTAGGACTTCCATCAGCAGGAGGGCCAGAACAGGACCACACATCTTCCTATTACCTCCTGGGACACAGGGGCAGATCCCATGCCAGTTCCCAACGCTCAACCACATTTCAGTGTGGCAAAGCCTCTGAAAAGACTAAAGCTAGCATCACCTCAGAGCATTGTACGGGATGTGTCACCTCCTGCCAGCACTGTTGGGAGAGTTCCTGTCTCATGCTCCAAGCCTGAACATCTGGGGATAGTCTAGAGGACTCAGCCCAGCCTTTCCCTGCTGTAGGGACAGATTAGGTCTTTGTGTGTGTGCTGGCAGCCCTGACAGCATGGATGGCCCCTGGTGTCCTGTGCTGCTCTGTTTTCCTTCAGCCGGACGAACTTCCAAATCTGGAGAAAAGCAGAAAGCCACGCAGCTCCCACAGCTGGGCTGTTCTAGAGAAATCCTACTGAGCGTTGACATGGCTCATAAACAGGACATGACGGGGCACCGACCGGCGGAGAGCCAGGAAGCGGGGCAGGAGGGGCGAGGGAAGGGCTGGTACTCACTGCACAAGAAGCACGACTTGTGGAAGCTGCTGCCTTCACACTGCACCTCCTCGGCGAAGTACACTGCCTTCTGGCAGACGCCACATTTCTTTCCTCCTCCCCAGTTTGGCATCCTGCAGACAAAGCACAGGCAGAAACTGTCAAGGTGGGAGGTCAGGCAGGGCACAGGGATGGGGCAGGGCAAGGCCGGGAGAGCCAGCACCTGCCAGCAGTTCTCCTACTGCCATTCCACATCTGCACCTGCAGAGACCACCACAAATGTTACTGTTCGCACAGATTCACAGGGCTGGTAATTAGCAGAATTAGCAGAACTCAGGATGCCCATGGGACCCATCGTTACAGTACCCAACAATATCACCCTGGGAACTGCTGCTCCAGCCAGCCAGGAGCAGCAGAAATCCCCTGTCCTGGAAGCTGTGGGGCCTCATAGCTCCTTTCTGTGCCAGGAAAAGGGAGGAAGTGGGACAATGATGGGAGACAGCACTTACAAAGGTACCCACAGCACCGGCCCCTTGTTAGGCCACAGCCCTGCTATTACCCCTCGACAGGGCAATGCAGCAATGGCCAGGGTGACCGATCCCTGGTGCTGGAGAGTGTACAAGCTGTCACGCCAGCTGGAAGCAGTTCCAGCTTCTCCTTCCTGAACGCCTCTTCCATTTTTGCCACGACAGGGCAGGGATATAGGCAGGCTTGCCCAAACTGTGGGAGCTGACCCCTGATGCCAGCAAACAGTGGGCTCTGGCGCCGTGTCCCCCACAGCATCATTAGCTTGTGCCTTGCCTGGCCAACCGCTCATAGGTTTCCCATGAACTTGGGCATCTCAAGCTCCTCCAGGACTGCAGGTACAGTCATGAAGGAAATCTGGGAAATCCACAGTCCCAGGGACACAGGCTCATGTGCAGGGAAAAGACCTGAGCACCAACCTAAGCTACCATGCAGCTCCTTGGCATGATATAAATGCTTCTGCTTCTCTTTCCTCTTTCCTGAAATGAATCTGATGAGATGATCTAGTGGCCCCTTGATCTGCAAATTTGCAGATAACCCCAAAATACTGTGAGCAGGTAACACAAGAGGCAGAGCTCCAACCCAGAGAGGCCCTGATACTTTTGAAGACCAGGCCAACATAAACCTCAAGACATTCAAGGCACAAAGTCCTACAAGGAGACTCAGAGGGAGGGATGCTGGTTGAGTGGGGCCAAGAGGAGGCTAAGGAGGATCTAAGAGCAACCTGGGGTTGCTACAAAGGCAACAAAATACAACAAAACAGTTCTGGTGGTGGTCAGTGATATAAGAAAGGTCAATGGGCACAAGCTGCAGCTCGAGAGGTTTCCAGAGGCCTCTCTCCATCAACATTTCTGAAATTCTCCATCCTGCTCCCACATGGGAACAGGCAGCAGAATCACCCTCCCCACCGCAGGCACAGCAGTGTGCTTTCCAGCTCCTGTACAGCTGAAGCAGCAGGACAAGGTCCCCAAAATCAAAGACCATTTTCACACTAACCGTGTGCCACCCCACAGCATCCACAGGATCTCATCACCTCCCTTGTCTCAGCTGCATGGCTACGAGGAAGATCTGCGTCTGCCGGGGCACCCAGGGAGCACAGCTTTTGAGTCCACAAGCCCCATCTCCAGGTCCCCAATCCCCCACCCAATGGCTGGGCCAGTGGCAGTGCCCTGCCTGGCAGGCAGTGGGGAGATGGATGCTGAACACAACAGGCCTGGGGGCTGTGCAAGCGTCAGAGAGATGAGGGAGGATGGAGCACTGCAAACCCTCTGCTCACGGGCACAGCGAGATCTCTGTACCTTCCAGTGTCTGGGAGAGTCGAGCTCTCCCCTCTGTAAGAGTATTTTGGCAGGCAGTGGCAAAGGGAAATGGGTCTCAGCGCTGCTATAACAGCAGGCAGGACAGGCAGGGAGCGGGTCAGGGCTCACGCATTGACGGGCACGGGCTGCAGCTCCTGGCTGCACGGAGGGTCCCTGCGCAGGACAGCCGGAGCTGCGGAGGGTCCCGGGAGCGGGGGCTGGAAAGGCTGTGCTGGCTGCAGGGATCCAAGGAGCCGTGTTTGGGGTGTGATCGCAGCAGCTGGGAAGCCTCTTTTCTGAATGCCCTGCAGACAGGGCTTCCCACCACTGCCGCTGCCTGTGCCAAATCCCTCCCTTTCAGCCTGATGGCTCCAGTCCCAGCCTTTGGATTACCTTAAAAGGTCACAAACTGTTTCTCTCCAGAGCCTGTTTTTCCCCCCTGCACCACGAGGAGGGCCCGACCTGGTTCAGGAGTTTCCTTGGAGGGCAGAAACATCCAGCAGCATCCCCTGCCAGCCCAGGCAGCAGAGATGCTCATGCCTACATGGGAGCCTACTGGTCCATTTTGGCCCCATGCCCATCTGTGTCACACCCCTCCTCAGGAATAGCACAATTTCTCTGGGTCCCCCATCCCTTTCCAGACACAACTGCCAGCAGACCCCATCTCTTGGGCTCACCAGTCCTGGTTCTGGGGGGCAGCTTCATGCAGGCAGCTCCCTACCATCAGTCACTGCCCGACAGCCAGGGCACCTGCAAGCACGCTCAGGGACAAACTGCCCGGTGTGATTCGGAGCCAGCTGCCCCCTTTTGCATCCACAGCGCATTTTTTCCCCCTTTACAGTGGGAGCGAAGGAAGCGGCTCTCTCTGCCCCAAACAGCAGGGTTCATCTGCCCAAACTGAGACATTGGCAGGGGAACACCTTCCTCTGAGCTGCCGACGGAAGGAGAAGAGCTGCTGCTGGGTGCTGCTCATCTAATGTTTGCTGCAAGAGGAATTCAAGCCCATCTGCTGCTTATTTTCTTCCATCCACCATGGGAAGGCTGCAGGTTCCTCCACACAGTCTAAACAATGTCCCTGTGATTTCGGCAGGTGACTCACCACAAAGCACCCAGCAGCACAGATGCAGCCCCAGCAAACCCACATCCCAGCAAGACCTCCTGGAACACGCCAGGATGGATTTTCTGTGAGGAGAGACCATGGAAATGCATTTGTCCTGGGGATACATGGGCTTGTGATAGCTCACAGCTGGGCACAGAGAAAGCCTGAAATAAGATTTAAGTTGCTAGGAATTCCCTCTTAGTCCACAACATCTGCAGGCACACCTTGAGAGCCCGGAAGGCCACACAAGAGACCAAAAAGATGTTTATGCTACAGGCCAGTATAAACAGGAAAAAAAAAATCTAATAGGAGCTCCCTGCTCACGGAGCCTGGGACCTGCACCAGCCATCTCAGAAGCAAAATCCTGACAGCAGCCATCTAGACATCCCAATTCCCTAATTAACGACTACTTTACGATACAACAAAGAGTTTACAAGCCTTTCAACAGTATTTTTTCAGCGTACTTTGCACCATGGAGCTGAGCACCATATTCTGTCCAATTGCAACACGTACCACATTCACACTTCTCCATATCACTGTTAGACCCCCACAGAATGAGGAACAGGAGGTGACTGTCCTGCAGCCACAGACCTCACTGAGCATAGGTGAGAGAGACATTCAGGGCTGCCAAAACCTAGGATTAGTTTCCTCCCTGCTGCAGCTCCACACCCCACGTACAACTTCGCAGCAAACGCGACCAGAGCCCTACAGACAGCATCCTCTGTGTCAAGGGTGGCTCAGCCCTGCAGCCGGTCCACCATCGGGATGCTGGATAAGGCAAAGCATCTCAAGACCCAAGATACCATCCTCTATCAACATCTGTACTGCTGGGAAGCACAGACAGCTTGCGCAGAACCACACGAGTCTGACACCATTTGGAGATTAACGCTAATTTTAGTGTCTGATGCCTGATTTCGTGGCAGTACAGTTCACCAGGTCAAATGTAACCCACATTTCAGATGTGTTTGTGTTGGCAGGCAGTCTAAGCTACACTGAACAACCAAGCATAAACCAGCATGGAACCAGAATGTCCTGGTGCTTTGGGATGTCATCTGAACCTGGGCTGTCAGTGGAAGCAGCAAGCAGATGACACCAAGCCATCGGGAACACTTGGTCATCATCTCCTTAGAGTGGGTTGAAAGATCAGTGGGCTCATGTCACACCAAAGCTGACAACCACCATTTTACCTGCCTGAGAGAGATGTTTTTTAACTGCAGCTTCACTACTACAGATTCACTACTACAGGAGCACTCAGAGCAGTGCAGGTTCTCCCCCTTCACCCTCCAACGAACTTTACCTGCAGCCACCAGGATGTCAGCTCAACCATTGGAGCTTCTGCAATAGCTGGAAAACCTTTCCCACGTATGTGACCAGATGTTCTACTAAAATCCTAAGGTAATTAATTGCAGAGCAATCACTTTGTGCTGGAAGATCACTGAGGAACAGGAGACTAATGTTGGCCCATGTAAAAGGGTTTTTTTTCTCCCATGAAAGTGTTAACACAAATGATGGTAGAAGAGCACCATCAGTGCTGCACAAAATTCACTTCTAACAATGTTCACAGAGGTCCACGCAGGGTCGTTACATGGCCTAGCAAAGGGACAAGTCAAAGGGGAAGAAACCAGAGTAGGAACGCCAAGCTCTGGGGTCTGACCATCACCTTCCAGTCTAGAGAGCAGCTGGCATAGCCATGAAATGAGCGGAAAATTGAAGGGGGCACCTAGACAGATGAGGCATGTGGGCAGAGCAGAAAGGAACCATCAGATGGGGATATACATGACACAAGGTGGGAAATCACCAGGACAGAGCATCAGGGGTTCAGCACCCCTAACTGCACTCTGCCCCACACAAACGGCATCTGTCACAGAGGAGCTTTCACCTCATCGGGGCACAAGTGGAAAAAACCCTGCAAGAGACAAGTTAGAACTGTCCCCCCTCCACCTGCCATGTAATCAGCTGGGCAGAGCAGTGACCTGAGGAGACTCGGGGCTGCCAGTGGTGTAAATGAGGATAAATGCAGGTAATTTGTGATAACAGTGTTGAACTGGTGAGCAAGAGGAGAACGGGGTCCTGAGGCTGGTGAGCACTCGGACATGGCAAAACACTGGGCATCACCATGGAAAACTCAAAGAACTGCCCCAGGAGACGCAGCTGTATCAGATCAGACATCTCAGAGGGCTTTGCCATGTCAGGAGGGTCTGAGTGATCCTCA